ACCCATCCACCATGACTCTCTGGGTGCGACCCTCTAGCCAATTTGCCACCCACTGTACTGTGTAGTCATCCAAGTCACAGCCTCTTAACTTGTTCACCAGTATGGGGTGGGATACCGTATCGAAGGCCTTCCTGAAGTCTAAGTATACGACATCCACCCCTCCTCCTGTGTCCAGGCATTTCATAACCTGGTCATAAAAAGAAAGTAGATTGGTCAGGCACGATCTGCCTGCCACGAATCCGTGCTGGTTTCCCCTCAGCATAATTTGTCCTGCCAGGCTCTCGCAGATGTGAGCCTTGATAATTTTTTCAAAGACTTTGCCAAGGATGGAGGTGAGACTGACTGGCCTATAGTTGCCCGGGTCCTCCTTCCTCCCCTTCTTGAAAATGGGGACCACATTGGCCCTTTTCCAGTCCTCCGGGACCTGGCCCGTGTGCCATGAGTGTTCAAATATTTCCATCAGTCGCTGTGCAATGACGTCAGCCAGTGCCTTCAGTACCCTCGGATGGAGCTTATCCAGGCCTGCCAACTTAAAGGCACCCAGTTCCTCCAAGTGACTCTGCACCATCTCAGGGTCTACGCATGGTAGTCTGGCGCCTTGCTGCTGCCTCTCTACAACCCCAGTGAGAGACTTGTCTTGCCCCTCACTTAGGAACACTGAGGCAAAGAACTCATTGAGGAGTTCAGCCTTGTCCCCCCTGTCTGTCACCAATTGCTTCTGCCCATATAGCAGGGGTCCTATTCCTCCCTGGGCCTTCCTTTTACTCCCTATATATCTAAAAAACAATTTCTTGTTATCCTTTACTTGGGTTGCCATCCTCAGCTCCATGGTAGCTTTGGCCCATCTAACTGCCTCCCTACAAGTGCGAGCAGAGGAGGTATACTCCTCTTTGGTGATCTCTCTCTGTTTCCACTTTTTATGTGCTCCCCTTTTGGCCCGTAGGCTGCCCTGGATTTCTCTGGTCAGCCAAGGAAGCCTCCTGGCCCCTTTCCCTCTTTTTCCTCACATCGGGATTGTCTCCCTTTGTGCCCGAAGGATCATTTCCTTAAGGCACAGCCACCCTTCTTGGGCTCCCATCACTCATATGTTTAAGGTAAGAGTCGTCATTACTGACCTTGCAGTACCCTAGGTGTCAAAATGATGAATACTGTTGAGGTTACCTGAGCTTCTCAGGGTGGTATTTCCTCTAGTGTCTGTACCTCTATAGATTTGGTGTTGGAGTCTTGTTTCTCAAAGCTCTTGAGATCTCTTCTTTGTTAGTGGTCAGAACATACCCAATAACATACACCTGAGAAAAGGCCACAAGGCCAATTGTAAATTATTGTGGTTTAACTTCCATTTACCACAGGATAGAGAAGACATACGAAACAGTTGCAGCAGTTTCAGCTGAACTGCAGTAAATTATCCTCCTCCGCTTTTTAATAAGTACACTTGTTTCATCTCCCCATTTTTAATCTTCTATTTGTCCAATTAAAGAAGGTTAATTGTCTAGTATCTTATTCTCCAAGATTTTTTTTTACCTGTGAAAGGTTCCTTTCCCTATTGACTTTCCCACCAAAAAGGAACTGAAGGGAGTTTGAGGCTGTTCATCTTTTTAGATCCTCGAAATTTGCTGTGGGAAAGAGCAGCAAGTAGCCCTGTAGACACAGTTTGCTCAAAACACCCTGGTATCAGCATTGTTGTCTCTCACAAGGGTGAATATTCAGTGCAGAGGGTATATGTTATACCATCAGTGCAGAGGGTACATATTCTATACCATCACAGGGCCAGTGTGTACAAATAAGTACATGAAACAAAGAGCTTTGGTATATCTCCCATGCTGCTCTGAAGGTGGCTACGTTACATTATTTTGAGGTTCAGTGGACTGGGATGATGTGTCTCCCTACTGTTTGTTGTCTTTGACAAAATAAACGTGCCTGGAGGAGCAATCAATAACTTATTCATAAATTAATGTCTTATTGATTAAAATTCACAACCTCCCAAACCCAAACGTATATTGAACTGCTGCATCCTTATTGCAGTATGAAAATAATGCCTATGGTTTTCCTAAATACTTACTGCCAAACACTTGCATACTAAAAACTTCCATTATAAGAACATAGGAATTGCCAACCTGGTTCAGACCTGAGATTCCTCTAATCCAGAGACTCACCATGGCCCCAGAGACACAGTTTGCTGAAAACAGATGTGGACAGGTGTGAGGTAACCTTTCCTATCACATCTCAGCCTGTTTTATAAGAGCATTTGGTTTTCAGCCCAGAAGCTTGATGGTTAATATCCCTTTATAATTTTCATCATCATTCTGGTTCTTCATATACATAACCAATCCCTTTATGACTCTTGCTGAGTTCTTGGCTTCAGCAACTTCCATTGGCATGAGTTCCACAGTCTAATTAGACTTTGAATAAAAAATGTTTCCTTTTATCAATTTTGAATTAGCTACTTTTTAATTTCATTGCATGTTCCTTTGTTCTTGTCCTGCAAAGATATTAAGTTTAGAAAGAGAAGCAAACCTTGTAAAAGAAAGAGCACATGGCATACAATAAAGGAAACTTAATAGAAAGATGGTGTCATTCTATTTCTGTGGAAAAATCTTTTACTTGACCAGTTTATCTTATCATTTAATTGTCTTCCTATACTAATAAGTGTTTGAAGTCATTCCAAATGTTGGTTCATTGAAAAATAGAAAATTATTAGATTTGTAATATATAAAAATGAATCTTGCAACTATGGTAGCATAGATTTCTTGTAAATATTTAACCACAGCGGTACAAAAATACTTGGAAAATGCAGTATTTTTTCTAAGCCACAACATTGCGTTACTGTCTCTCAGTACTACGTTTTTCAGTTTGGTTTATACATTTGAAAAAAGGAACTTGCATTTTATGTCATATCCTTATAATGTCATAGGAATAATATGTACATCCTTTCAGGATATTTAAGATACTAAATATTAGATAATTATTATTTAAATGAATGATATCTAGTTAACCAAAACGAATAGAATTCATAATATTCATAGTGAAATAAACCTGGCTCTAGGTCTGTTTTAATAATTCTCAATATTGGTTATTATAACTTAACAGTGGGCACATCTACACATGGTGATTTAAGGTGCATTAGCCATTTTCGAGACACATTAAGGGCATGGATCTACATATGTGTGCCCTTAATGCGCCTGAAAATGGCAATTTTAGGCTAATCATGCCTAAATTCAATACCTGCAAGTATCAAATTTAGGCATGATTAGTTAAGGCACTTTAACCCATGTGTAGATGCCATAAGGTGCTTTAACACTATGTGACAGAGCTAGACAGAGATGAAGTGATGGGGCCTCACACTGCTGCTGGGCGCCGCCAAGAAGAAAACACACCAGGTTCTGTTCTGCAAGGCGCAGATGCTGGAGCTGGAGTGGCAGTTCTGGCAGCAGTGGTCCCTGTCGGTATGCAATAAGTCAGCAGAAGGGGCAGGAGGCACGAGGGTGGGGACTCAGCTCTCTCCTTGGCCCACCTGATCCAGCCCTTGGCTGAGCCCCCACCCAGCCTGCCCCTTGTGCTTTATACAGGTACCCTCATGCCTCCTGTCCCGTCTGCCAACTTGGCGCACACAGACAGGAACTGCTGCTGCCAGAACCACTGCTCCAGCTCCAGCGTCTACACTTTGCAGAACACCACCCACCACATCTTCTTGGCAGAACCTGGTAGCAGCATGGGGCCCCATGGGCTTGGCTCTAGCCCGCTCTCATCTGACACTGGGGAGGCAAGAACAAAGGGAAGGGGTTAGGGCTGGGGGTGGGGCCAGGGCCAGGCCAACCACATCTGGGGAGACTGGAGGCTCCCACCCCCTTGGCCGTTGCTGGGCTGCACTGCCTGGCTACGCTGCCATGGGCTTCTGGGAACTGTCCAGGGTGCTGACCAGGGCAGGCTGCCCCTCCAGCCACATTAAGGTGCCTCACAGCATCCACATGTAGACATGCGTCTAAATCGTCTTTGTCATGACCCAAAGGGTATAATTTTGTTGTGTGCTTCGGCACTGCAGAATTATTTTCTGCCACATGGAGCTTTCTTTGAACGGTGCAATTCTCAGTTGCATAGAGAAATCCCCGGTGCAAAAGAGTTCCCGCCACACATATGTAAATTCGTACCCCATTATTGGCTGTTTCTAAATTATTCCCACGTGGCAGCTAGCGATTGGCTTGCTAGCCGTATAAGAGGCTTGAGCAGTTTCTGCCCAAGTTGGAGGACTTCACATCCATCTCGTGAAGAACTCTAAGCGTGCTGTGGAGCCTAACAAACTCCACGTGTGCCTTAGAGGAGGATACAGGGGCCTGATCAACCTCTAGCTTCTCCCCGTCGCCACACGATCCCTCGATGTACCCTACCCTGCGCGCTCGTGGAGAATCACCTTTCGGACTCTCATTTTGGTCGTTCCACGGAGCCTAGCAAACTCCATGAGTGGTATCCAGAGCTCTGTTCGTGTTCGTTTAGCAGAGCCTAGCAAACTCCGCTCGTGTGTCTTCAGTGGAGCCTAGCAAACTCCACGTGTGTGTTTTTTTTTGTAACTGCAACTCAAGAAAGTTTTTCTGCCTGCACCGTGACCACCTACGGTGTAAGTAAAACAATCTTTAATCAACCTCTACGTGTCAGTGCCTAATTCTAGTTCGCCGTGCCGACCCTTTCCCCGGCCCACGTGCCCGGGCTGCTGGCCACAGCCCCTCGGCCCCGACAGCCTTAACGTGCATTATGCTAAGACACGTTAAGTTTAGGTATGTATAAATTCATGCATAGACATGCCCAGTATGTACAAATAGCGTGTACAAAATAAATCACAGTTCAAAATGTGCCAGAGGACTCATAATAGACAATGAGCAATGTTTATAACCTATACTTATTACATCTTTTTAGGCATTCCTTAACTTTTCCCACAAGGGAGTGGATTATGAAACCTTCAAGGCAATTAATGAGGCATGTCTTGTTTATGATGGAAGACTTGTGATTGATACCAATTTCCATACTAATGACATTACTATCAGAGCCGCTGGTCCTTTAACCAAGTTCTCAAATATATATTATACAAATGAATGGACACACAGCAATTTCAGTTCAAAAGAGATTGGCTTCCAGCTTGCTGCATCTATATTGAATCTCTTTGATCCAACTCTGGAGCCAGTTTCTGAGCCACCAGATGATATGGATAGACTCATCCCAATGTACAAGGGATGTAAAATTCAAGGTAGGTCAAAACACTATTTGTCAACATTTCTATGCTTTCTTCTGCTGTATCTTCTACTGTAGTATAAAATAGCATGGCAGGAATTGTATGAATGATTGTTTTCTGAGTAAGTAAATGCTGCTTGACAAATTGCTTATCTGTACTAGATTTTATGCTGTATGTGTGAGCTGATGGGTTCTTACAGCATGTTTAATGTAATCCCATTAATAATTAGACATGTGTGGAAAGACTCCTTATCCTCACACTTTGTCACAAGCATGAAGCTTGACCTTTATTCATCTGGTTTGCTTCTTCGTTCTTTACCTCTCTCTGGAGAAGCACTTCTTGATGATAAAGGTTGTGTGACATGTAGTTCAACAAGACCTTTTATACTTTGCTTTAATAACATGCTGCTTTTTTAGCCTACGGCACTCAAAAGCTTCACATTTCTCAACCTTATAGTCTACACCTTTTCTTGATTGGATTTTCTGAGAATTTCATATCAATGATGTAATGATTAGCACTGATGTAGTTAGCAACTAATAGTTACCAAAAAAGAAAAACTTCACCTGGTTTTGTGTGATATCCAAAATAAAGCTCATCTGAACAAAATTGGGTACTTGACATTTTTGGGGCCAGCTTTTCAAAAGCTTCTGACAATCGATGAACCATCCAAAATAGGTATGTGAAATTCAACCCTGCACAAAGGGTCAGTACCAGAAGACAAGTCTGCATTAAGATGTGTGCAGCCCTTGTGTTAAACTTGTGCATAGTGATGATGTCACCCAATGTGTACAGGGTATTGGGCCCATAAAGTACACTAGTATGTGCAGATAGGATAATTGAAGTGCACACAATGCATGCTCAGATACATTGTTCTGCTGGTCCAAGAATTGTGCATGCTCTTCAAGAAGATATTGAAAATGTATTTCTAAACATTTACCATCCCTATGGTGTTTTTAGCTGTCATCCTCTTCTTAGTAATTACCAAAAGGAATACTAGAAAATAATGGAAAAGTGGACCAGATTGTGTTCTCAGCTGCATTATTATAAATACAGATTAATTCCACTGAAATCAAGTGATTTATTCCAGTTTAACATCATTATAACTATGATTAGAATTGGCACTATTTGTACTGAAATGCACAAAAATATAAAAATATGGATATATGGAAGTGCAGCAAAAATTAACAAGATTTTTATCCATTCTCTAAGGAGTTGTTTAGTAAGCAGCATATGACTGAATAAATCTTAATTTTTTTATTTATACTAGGAGGTGTTCTTCCAGGAGGTTATAATTACTTGTATATTTCCAAACCAGGAACCCCTACACGTTTGGATGTGCAAATTACACAACTGAATTATGTAAGTATCCTTATTGTTTTCTTATTCAGGATATCATGAAACTACACATTGATGCACTGTGGATAACATTCTCTTCTTCTCTGACTACTTAAGTGGCCATTTTTTCTTATCTACAAGGCATTTTAGGCACTTGAACACCTAAATTCTGTTGCTGGACACATTGCTTTATGTAAATGGACAGCTGTAGTTGTGCAGACTGGCAGCAAGTTGAGAGAGTGAGACCACCTCCCCTCTTTTCCCCCAAATAACTGAGGTACTCACTTGGGAAACCCAAGGTCCTGGATTCTAACCCCTACTTGCACAGAGTGGGGTTTGAATTTGGATCTCTTCTACTTCTCAGCACAGCACCATAACCACTACACCACAGGTCAGCCATTATCCAAGGCCTTCTCCCATGTTCCTTTTGAAGCTGGCCCCTGGGAGGGATGAGAGGGAGGTATGTGGAAGATAGGTCAGACCAGGAGGAAGGCATAGTGATGTGTATGCTCCCTGTAAAGGGAGGGAGCCCTGGATTGTAGCCTGGGCCTTTGTCCCTCCTAGGCAGAAGCTTCCCCCTGTATTGTCTCCCATCCATTTTGCCCCCACGGACTTTATTAGTGGATCAGCTTCGAAAAGAGATATATTGAATTCATGAACTATTTAACAATTATATTTTTGTTTTTACAATCTATAAGAGCAATTATAGTCTCTTCACACAATTTTACCTAGTAGAGGATTCTGATATACTACATTTTTATTCTGTCCCCCTCATTATGGTACTAAAGCACTTCCTAGATTTACAGACCCAAAGCCTCAACTTGTATTCACTGGTGTATTTCTTTTCAGGTCAGTGGACTTCCCTAATTCACACCAGTTGAGGATCTGGTTTGTAAAGAGTACATGAACATACTGATTTCTCTCTCTTCCTTTGGCAGAAGATTCTTATTTTGTATATTTTAATTTGCTTGATTTTTTTTCTGAGAAATGAGCTTGCGGATCAGCCCTTTAAAATGTCAAGAGCAGGCTGGCTGGGTGAATTCAGCACTAGACTTGGACTCACTCAGAACCTGTTTCTGTTCCCGCTCTGCCCCTGACCTCTTACATGTAACCTTCACCTTTCTGTTTCCCCCTGTTTTGTCTTCCACATCTAGTCTGTTTTATACATGTGGATGCTCTTCAGTATCAGGACTGTCTCTTACTATGCTTGTAGAGATCCTGACAGAATGGGATCCCATCTTTGATGGCTCTGTAAATCATTACTACAATGCTAACTACTAATAAAATAATCAGTTTGGATGTTGAATGAACAGGCAAAAAATAATATTGCTTTTTAAGCCTCATGTTTCAGTAAGGTGGCCAGATGTTTCACAGGTAGTTTTTAAGTGTTCCAGTTTTTTTAAATGTGTTGCTAAGTTACAGCAGGCTTTGTTATTTCCACAGCCTCAGCTGATACATTTTGCAAACATTACAGCAACCCACCAATTTCCCTTAGGCTTATTCTGTACTGAATGCCCATTGGGTTTTAAAGTTGTCAAAACTAGTCTAGCAGTAATTCCCAACTAAGTTTCATTCACATGTATAAGATTTGAGGCCTTGTTCTTAATTAAATCATAGACAGATGAAACTTTATTAACTATCTAGCTTTCCCTTATCAAGTGTATAAGACTCTATTCTGTGTCCATTGACAATCCAGTCTCTTCAGAGCAACTTATGGTAATACAATTAAACATCGCATTTCTAGACAATACCAAAATACTTGGTTCCTCCTTGTCTTGTTTTAAGAAGCTTGCCAGCAACCCAGGATCCCAGAGAGCCTAGCATCAGTTTTCTCAGATCTCAGGCTGCAGATGCTCCTGGAATGTGAAGGGCTTAGAAGCCTCTTGAGCCTGTCTAGCTCACTGAGATGCTCCCCTAGGGGCAGGGAAGCTTTCTGTTGCCCCCTGTCTGATGAGCATGCCTTTGTCATGCTTCAATTAGGGAGTTTAGAATGTGGGGCTGCTCAGAGCACTTTGTTTTTTTGTTATGCTACAAACTTTGTAGCTTGACAAAAATATCTTTCAGAGGCCTTTAACTGATGCTATACGTCAGGGGTATGCAACCCCTGGCACAGGTGCCAGAGTGTGGCACTTAAAGGCATTTTGCTTGGCATGCACAGCTTGTGGCAGATGGTGGGGAAGGCCTGGGTGTTGTGCTGCCACAACAAGGATCAGGCCCCTCATGGCTTTCCCGACCGTCCGGCCCTGGCACACTAACACCTTACAAGTTGAGGTTGCAGGTGTTTCTGGCACTCTGTCCAAAAATGTTCCAACCATGGCTATGTCTTCCAAGTAGAAAGTTCTCTCCTATGCAGCTTTCTTCATATTTATAGTATATTTTGTTCCAGGGGATGGAAATTATAACTGGAGAAGCAATACGTGGGAATTACTTCAGGATACACATCAACCAATACGGCATGGTAGAAACCATTACCTGCTTTTCAAAGAAGCCCTTCCCTGTCTCCAACTATATATGTTTGTTTGGACAGCATGAGCGTGTTCTTAACAATCTTTGTTCTCGCTGGAAAGAGGGATTGATTTCTGACCTCTACAGGTAGGATGTGTTCAGTTTTGTATTCAGTCTGTTTTTTACTAAAATGTACTGTTTCCTCTAATTAAAATATGTATAATACCTTAAAATGAGGACTATAATGTGTGCATGTGTGTGTATGTGTAGATAGATAGATCAGATCTATCTGTATCTTTCTGAAAGTAAGGAAAGTCATCCATTGTTTTCCAACAGGAAAAATCTGTCACAGGTTGAGCTGTGTTCCCCAAGAGTTTATTTTAGAGTAGTGGTAGCTATTCTATTATTAAGATTGCAACCAACTTACATTTAAAATCAGTGCTTTAACAGGACTGTAACTTGGAAAATTCAGTAAGCCTGAAAAACAGCAGACTTACTCTGTAAAAATACTCTTCTTTCCCTTCGTAGTAAGACTTAAAATCCAGCAGATTTATAAAGTCGTTAAACGCTATAAGTCATGAGTTTTTGGGTTTGGATTCAGTGATGATACTCTTGTGCTGAAGTGGTTACCTGATTAGTGGCTGATGAAATTAATTCTTGTGGCTTCCCCCTTATACTCTATGGCAGGTAAGTAAGTGACAACCACTGGGAATTCTTTTAATTTTGAATTAATGTTCCAGCTGGCAAAGTCAGGACTCTTTTTATATACTTGATGGAAACCACCCAGGCCAGGTCCAGGATTTCCCCTCCCAACCTGGTTCACATAAGGGTTTCCCTATAAAGCTTGTCTTCTTCTAGCTGTGGTAAGACATGAGCAAGTCTTCTGCACAGGAGATTCAAAATAAAGACCAGTTCCAGTGTTCCCTCAAATAATAGGAGACACTAAACCCACTTTTGGGGAAGAAGCATGGTTTTACTATTTAAGATTTATTATATGTGATGATAACCTCTCAGAGCAGAGGTGAGCAATTATTTCGTGCAGAGAGACACTCTTGGCAAGCTGTTGAGGCCTACATGGGTAGCCCTGCCCCTTGACAGGTGCCCCGTCTCTTGGTCACCATCTCCGAACTGGAAAGTCCTGCCCCTAACCTCTGACCTTTGCCATCTTAAGTCCCTCCTTTTGCCCCTGGAAGTATTCCTTTGGGGAAGAGGGTTTTCCCTCTTAGGGAAAAAAAACCAAATTATATACTAAACATCAAACACCCACAATAATATATTTTAATTTAATTTGAAATATATATTTTTGTCCTGATTTGTGTGTGTTTGTGTTGTATATGTAGAAGTGATTGCATAAAAGCTCAAAATTCAGTCTTACTCGTATACTGTGTGGGATGTGCAGCGGTGTCAGGGGGGTATAAGTGGGTGGGTGTGGGGTTTGTGAGGAGCTGTGGGTGGGTGGGCATGAGGGTTTGTGTGGATGTGTGTGTGGGTATGGGAGCCACGTGGTACAGAGCAGCCAGTGGGTGGGCAGGAAAGGAGGGAAAGTGGCAGTGGGAAGCAGGGGAAGTGGAAGTGAGCAGTGTCCCGGGGCCAGCACCAATGAGGCCCATAGCAGGGCAGTTAGAGCATGGGGCATGGGCTAGCAGGGGTCCATGGAGCTGCGCTTGGCTGCCTTCAGGGAGAGAAGGGAGGTGGCTGATGTTTTAGCGGCTTAGGGCTGGTTGCAGTGCACCTTGGCCTCCCGTGTGAGGTGGAGCAGCCCTTGTGGGGCCCCCCCACCCCCTGGGGCCACTGGCATGGTTGTGGCAGCCACGGGGCTTGGCGGCAGAGAAGGAGGATGAGGTGGGCTCAGCCGCCACCACCTTCTCCTTGTTGGCACACTTGTGGCAGCAGCCACTGCCGCCATGGTACTCCTGCCATGCCCAGCTGCCGTGCTTCGCCTCCCCACGTGGCTGTCCCTGCCATCCTCACACTTACTACTGCAGCTGCCACTCCTGCAGCCATTGTCACTGCTGTTCCTGGCTGCCACAGGCACCTTGGCCTGCTGCAGGGACAGCACTGGGCATAAGCAGCCATGGGGCAATTGGTGCTCAGGCTCGCATCAGGGCCATGGTGGCAGCTGCTTGGCAGCAGCCACCCACCACCACAGTAGCTGCTGCATGGGGAGATGGAGCATGGCTGCTCCTGAAAGTGGCACCATGAGCACAGCGACAAGGAGAAGGTGGTGGCAGTGGCCAAGTCCACCTCCTCGTCCACTTCTGCTGTGGCTGCCACAACCACACTGGCGGCCCCAAGGTGCACCACAAGGGCCGCTCCACCTTGCTGCTGCGGTGGCAGGCTGCTGCCACTGGCCAGTGAAGCCAAGCTGCTCCCACCATTGCCACTGCTGCTGCCACACGCCTACTCTGAGCCTGAGCACTGTGGCCACTTGCTCTTGGCGCTGTCCCCACATCAGGCTGAAGCACCCTTGGTGGCTAGGAACAGCAGTGACAGCAGCTGCAGGAGTGGGTGTGGGGCCGGCAGCAGCAGCCATGTGGGGAGGCAGAGTATGGCAGCCAGGTGTGGCGGGAGCACAGCGATGGCAGCGGCTGCTCCTACAAGTGGCACCATGAGCACTGCTGCAAATGTGGTGACAAGGAGAAGGTGGCGGTGGTCAAGCCTGCCTCTTCCACCGCAACTGCCACAACCATGCCGGCGGACCCGAGGGACGCTGCAAGGGATGCTCTGCCTCATGCAGCAAGGAGGAGCAGGAGGCCAAGGCACACCACAGCCAGCCTAAAGCCACCAAGTTATCAGCGAGCTCCCCTCTCTCCCTGCTAGCAGCCCAGCCCAGCTCCATGGACCCCTGCCAGCTCCTGCCACTCTGCTCTGGGCCCCAACACCACTGGCCCTGGGGCACTGGCACAGGCCCCACGCTCTGCTCACTTCCACTCCCCCTGATTCCCATCACCTCTTTCCCCACTTTCCTGCCTACCTGCTGGCTGCTCTGCACCACGTGGGTCCCGGCTGCATGGCTGGACTGTGGGACTCAGCAGAAGCCAGCCCACCCCTGAGGACTGGAGCTATCGTTGCAGTCCTCCCCTGCCTCCCCACCCCCTACTCTTACCTGAATTTCCCATGCTGGCACAGGCATGAACAGCCCCATGGTCCCAGGCCAGAATCCCCTGCTAGGCAGGGGGTTCTGGCTGGGGGGGTCAGGGCCAAATGGGTCTTGCTGTTACAGGAGCCTGCTGTGGCTTCCCCTGGGTCCTACTGCCCCTGTCTCCTTTCATCTTTGACAGGAGTCATGGACAGATAAATATTCATTTTCTAAAATTCTTAGGTGCTCTGTGGGCTGGATAGAATGGCCTGGTGGGCTGGATGCAGCCCATGGGCCATATTTTGCCCACCCCTGTCTCAGAGGGTGTTTTTGTTGCTTTGGAAAATTTGATTTTAACTGAAAAAAGACAGCTGGAGAAGAGCTTTTGAAAACAAGTGGCACCATATTTATGAAGTCCTCTGAGGCCTTTTTGAAATATTATAAATTAAAAATGCCTTGGACTAGAAACTCCAGATTTAACAAAAGAATTAGTTTTTTGAGGACATCTTCTCCATTAAAATTCTTGTTTAACTGATTTGTTAAGTCTTTGATGTTGTCATGAAATAGTGGCTAAAGAAGAACCAGCTGATATAAATTTAGTTGGACTTTCTGAAAACCCTTGATGTAGTGCTTAGATCTAGATTCTCAGGAATCTAAGCCTTCATGGAGGAAGGAAAGCCAAAGTAGTATTTTGGATCTGGACTTATCTAAGAGGCAATAAACAAAAAGTAGGAATGGCCAGTAATTTTTTATTATAGGAAAAGGTTAACAGTGGAGTGGCACAGAACTAGGCTTTTTCTTGTTGAATGTATTTATAAATGATTTGCTGAAAGAGCAGAGAACAAATGTTGGCAAAATTTTACAGTTTATTAGATTAAATAAGGCTAAAGAAAATGATGAGAAACCTAGAGTGACCTCTCCAAACTTTGTAAATATACTACATGATGGCAAATGAAACCGAATGTTGACACCTGTAAGATTATTCATTTAGGAATTAATAATTTGAAGTACATCTATACATCAGTGATTCACAAATAAGCTGCAACAACTCAGGGAAAAGATCTAGATAGCATAAAAACACAACCCAGTGAAAAATCTCTGTTTAATATCTAGTAGCAGTCAATAAAGCAAGCACAATGTTAGGATCCATAGGGAGAGAGAGAATTTTACTGTAAGCATTATAAATCCATTATATGAATCATTGGTACACCCGGCATCACGACTGCTATGTTCAGTTCTGTTTGCCCTGTCTCAAATAGTGTATAACAGGAATAGGGGTTCATACATGGATAGTGCGAATCATTAGAGGCATGGAAAATTTCACATGAAGAGAGATTACAATGATTGGAAATATTTGCTTTAGAAAATAAATGAATCAGAGGGAAATTATAAAGATGCGGCAAACAATGAGTGGTATTTAGGAGGTAGATCAGGAACTTCTGTTCATTTCTTTTCTCATAGCTCAAGAGCAAGGAGACATTCAGTGAAACTGAAAGCTGGCAAATTCAAAACTGAAACAGAAAATGTTTTGTCACATGGCACACAGTTGGCTCCTGGAAATCATTGCCACAAGATAACATTGAGGCTGAAAGCATAGCACGATTCATAAAAACATTGTAAACTGATAACCACAATATGCCACATTATGATGGTAAGGATTAAAAACCAAGGATTTTGGAATTGATTAACTGAGTGATGCCTTGCCTTGGGGCATAAGGCAGTTTCTAACTGGTGGGGATACTGGACTGGATGGACCGTGGATCTGATTCAGTTTGGTAATCCCTATACTTGTATTTTCCTATTTTCAGAATTGTTATATGGTTCTTTTAGAGATATTCTGTAAGGCCCAGATCCTTAAAGGTATATTTAGGCACACATCTTCTGCTTGGCACCTAAATCCCATTGATTTCAATGGAGTTGGGTACCTAAATACTTTTGAGACTCTGACCCTTTTAAACCTTTTAAACTCCACTGAAATCTGTAAGGTCTCTGTGAAATTTCTGATTTGTCTGAGATTGATTTTGATTTATAGAATAGGTGGATTTTGTTTTATAGAAAAGGTACAGTA